ACCTGGGACTCACCTTAAAACTGAATACAAACTTCCCACTCTTGTAGAAGCCCTGCGAAGAGAAAGAAGAAAGTGTTAGGACATCATCAGCGCCTGGCAGGTAAACTAAGTCTCCCAACTCAAAGTGCTCTCCCAGCTCCCTTGGCCCATGCCTCGGAGTCCAACTAAGTGTACCCTTACCTCATCAGGACAGATAACCAGCTTGAAGTTGAGGAGATCGTCTGGATCTGAGAAGCTGATGTCACACGTCTTGGGCAGGTTTAGCTCGTTTATGTCTGGGTTTGCATAGCAAAGAAGGGGAACGACGAGAGGGAAAGGGAGATGGAAAGACAAGGGCATTAGGAGGTGCAGGTGCCAGGAGAGCACCCATGGCCTCCTCCAGGACCCTCAGGGCTCTGTCCTGGGCTGTGCCCCACACACCCAACCCTCTCCCTACTCTTTCTGCTTTCTAGTCTCCAGGCAGGCTCTTCTAGATCCACAGCACACCTCAAACATGAATTGTAAACTGTGGTTATGCTCTAGCTCCCGGCCCAGGATAAGTTCCAACTCTTCCGAATCCACAGCCTAAAGTCTCAGCGTCCAGCAGCTGCGTACCCAACCCCCCAGCCCCCAAATACTCCCACCCCTGTGTGGCCCCCCAAGAGCCTACAACTACCCCAAACACCAGGATCCCCAGCCATGACCTCCATTTTCTAGTAGACATTGCTGGTCCCCACCTGACCACCCAAATCCAAGGACCCTGCCCCTAACCAATGCTGTCCCCACCATTCCTCCTCTCCTCTGCTTGTCATCCTAAATTCAGGTACCCATCCAACCCTCAGACATGTGAATTCCCATTCCTGTACCCCCTCTAAACATTGCCTCTAAGATTCCCAGCACCCAGCATGTTAGTCTAAATTAACCCTACCCCATCTCCAGTCCCCAGCACACACTGTTCTTCCCTCCTCCACGTGTCACCCCAAACACCAAATTGCCATGTGACCCCCCCAGACCCACAAATCGCAGTGCCCAAAACTTACTTCACTCCATCTCACTCTGATTCCCAATGACCCCAATATACTTCACTAAATCCTCTCCTACTCCTATCTCCAATCCTTGGCCCCCACTATCCAATCTCCTCTGCCTATCACCCATGTTCTCATACTCTGTGGAGTCCCCAGCTTCCTACTCGCCTTCCATTGCCTGACTCTCTGATTCTTGGTCCCCAATGCAAGATGCCTGGCTTTCCGAGTCTTGTAAGTGCCCCACATTCGGCCCCCCATCTCTGACCCCTCGGTGACTGCGTTACTCACCCCTGATCCCCCATCACACCGAAACCCAGGCCCTAACCTCTAACCTCCACATTTGCGGCCACATCTCTGACCCCCCGGTGACTGCATTAACTCACTCCAGACTCCTACATCACCCCATCCCAGCCGCTGACTTCCGACCCCCACCCCCATCCCCCGACCCCCTACCCTTCTGGATCCGCAGCTGCGCAGCCGACGCCTTCTTGCTGCTGCCCTTGGTGCCGCCCGCCGACTCCTCCTCCTTCTTCTGCTGCTTCAGCGAGAACAGCTTGATCATCCTGCCGCCGCCGCCGCTGCCGCCGCTGCGGGGCCCGGGACCCCGGCCACCCGGCCCCCTGCCGCCGCCTGCGCCGCCTCCGCCACTCGAACCCGCCTTCGCGGCCTCCTCCGCTGCTCCTGCCGCCCGCCCGGCCTGCCGCGCCGCTCCGCGCCCACCGCGCGGCCCGCGTCGGCTCCCGTAGTCCGGCTCTGGCCTGGCCCGGCGCCTCGGGCTCGCTCGGCGGCGCTCGGGCCGACTCGGCTATTCTCGGGCCCGCTCGGCCCCGCCCCCACCCAACCGCTTCCTCCTCCCCCTCGCCAGCTTAGGTCCCCTCAGGCCCAGCTGCGGCCGCGCCGCTTGTCTGTTCACTTGCTCCCACCGCGAGGGGCTGCGGCTCGAGGGGAAGGAGGAGGCGGCGGCCGCGGTGGCGGCTGCCGTGTACTAGAAGAGGCTCGGCTTCCGCGGCAGCAGCGGCTTCGGTGCAGAGGTCCGCAACGGCCTCGGACGCCCCACCGCTTCGGATATTTCCGCCGCTTGCACTCTTCGGCTCTTCTCGCCCGGCCTGCGCTATGCGCCTGCGCCGAAGCAGCGGCCGCCGCCGCCCGCCGCCGCCGCCGCAGCCACGGCCGCCGCCGCCACGGCCGCCGCCACCCCCGCCCCGCGTTGCTCAGCAATAGGTCTTAATATTCGGACTTTTTCGGCTGGACTCGGGTATTTCCGTTTGTGCCGCCTGTCCCGCGGTCATTTCCGGGGACGCTCGCGGGTCCAGTCAATGGCGGTGCCACTGCCATCTTTAAGTAGGGCAGTTGATGGTCACTTCGTAGGCAGCCCACCCTTGCAGATTGTGGTGGGGGTGGGTCACATGAGGTCCTTGCCCCTGGAGGTCACAGAGGCAAGGTGATTACGGCGGGCCAGAGCCCGGAGAGGCCGTAGCCTTTACTCAGAGAGTGCGGGGTCGAGCAACCTCGATGTCCCATCGCAAACGCAACTGGCTCGCGGAGATTCTGGATGAGGTAAACTAGTAAATAAAACGTGTATTGTGTTAGAGAGTAGTAAGCACTTTGGGAGATTACATGGGTGGACACTAGATGGGACGTGGGGCGGGGACCCTCTCGAAGCAGGTCCCGAGACCCAGCGGACACGCTTTGCGATCTTCCGCTGTGTGGCCAGCCTCCACAACGATCGCACACAGCTCAGCGTGCCTCGGAGGGCGGGAGGACGCCGCGGGGGGCGGTTCTATGACGTCCGGCTGTCGCCATGGAAACGGTCGGGCGGGTGAGCAGCGCGGCACCGCACTCAGTGGGTGGGTGCGGCCGGTGCTCAGTCTCAGCACCTCTGCGACCCAGTGCGGCTCCCGCTGTACGTCCCCGTCTGTCTCTGAGGCCACCTGCCGTCATCACCTGGAGCGTTGTGGAACAAGTAGTTTTGGCGGTCCGGTTGGGCCGGCGCTGGGGCTGGGCAGGGGTGCTCACGGGGTCCTCTCAGCCGTCGACCTCTGCCCAGGCTCGCAGTCCTCCCCTCGGGGGAGTGGCCGTTCCATGCCCTGCGCCTTCTCAGACCCGACCTGGCGTCCATCTCGACCCGTATCCTCGCTTCAGGGAGTCATCTCCACCTTTTCAGATCTTGGGCTGGCCCCAGCCTCCTTAGAGGCCCTACCCTGTGGGTCTTCGGGTACCACTGAGGTCCCTGGGCTCCACGGACTGATCGCAGCCGTGTCTCTGCAACTGCTCCCTCTTTAGGCCCTTCCATTCACAATGCCACCATCTCCCGACACCCCTTTCATTCTTCTGGTTGTCCTGTTATTCTAGCCTCGCATTTCCAGCATCCTTTCTTGATTCCTTTGAGAGTTAAGTGCTAGGGAGGTCCCAGGATGAGAACTGGGACTCAGAAGCATCAAACAGCTCAAGTTTGGGGTTGACATTGCAGCCATCTCAGCGTTCTTTTGGTTCAGACATGGCTGGTCATGGGACTCAGATGGTCCTTCCAGATTCAGTCTTCCTCTTCCTTTATCCCTTCCTCTCTGTTCTTCTCAGCCACCCGCTTTTCCTATCTATGTTATATCTATTGGGCCACTGCCAAGTTAGGGTTGATGACCATATTCTGTTTCCGGCCAAAGTCTTGGGGGTGTTGCCTGCTGTTGGTCAGTCTAAACTATGTGTCATTTACCTCGGGCCAATTTCTGAGGCCCATCAGATGATGGGGTTTTGGTTCCCTGGAGAGTTGATGGTGCACTAGCCAGAGCTAGACTCGTGTGGTCTAGGAACTCAGGGCTTTCCCATGGTCCAGGGAGGAGGGAATGGCTGAGTTGAGGCAGAGGGGTGAGTTGGAAGTGGTACACCTGTGTTTTGTTACTCTCATGGCAGAGGGGCACAGGTAGTTTGGGTGGCAAGGGTGCCTGTACCCCTTGGGCCTGCATCCTCTTGGTAGGCAGCATAGGGCTCAGCTTATCAGAGGTCCCGAAGGAAGCTGGGGCTGGCACCTGGAGGGATTGGGCAGCATATCACAGGTGAAGAGTGAGGGTGTAAGTGCACTTGGGACCTGTGACTGGGAAGCTAGGGTCTCTCTTGGAAAGGAGGGACCAGGAATGGGAAGGGACGCTGAGTGCTATGGGCCTCCAGGCTGGAGATGGGTGGCTGGGATCAAAGCAGTGCTGGGGGATGAAGGGAATTGGACAGATTTGGGAAGCTTGGGGTTAGAATAACTGGATGGATGTGGCACAGGAAGGCTGTGCTTGGAGCAAACAGTATGGGCTCATGATCCAGGGACAGGTTGGCTGGGCACTGTTGTAGCTTCCCCAGATGACCAGTGCCTTAGGGGTTCCTCTCCTGGCTTCCTCCAGTGGCTCTGAGTGAGGCCAAATGCTTATTCTCTCCAAGCCCTCAGCCCTGCTGATACTATGGTAGTACTTGAGTTCATAACTCCCAAGCTTGGCTTGCAGGTATGTCCCTAGCCAATTGCAGAAATGGCCTTTTGTGGGAGGCTCTCACATCACTCTTCATGTTTCTTTCTTAGAAGACTGGTTTAGCAGGTGGGTCTGTGGACTTTTTTTTTTTTTTTTTTTTAATTTACGATAGTCATACAGAGAGAGAGAGAGAGAGAGGCAGAGACACAGGCAGAGGGAGAAGCAGGCTCCATGCACCAGGAGCCTGACTTGGGATTCGATCCCGGGTCTCCAGGATCACGCCCTGGGCCAAAGGCAGGCGCCAAACCGCTGCGCCACCCAGGGATCCCGGGTCTGTGGACTTCTTAGGACTTTGGACATGGGGCCTTGGCCTCATGTCTCTAAGCCTTTCATGTGTGTTCTAATTTTTCCTGTGTATAATTTCAAGTTCTTAGTCATATGTGTGCAGATTTCTCTCCATGTTTTTCAAACATCATGGTGATCAAAAACATGAAAGTGAACTTTCTTGTTTGGTTTCTGAGTATAAAATTCACACAGGTATTGAAAAGAATCCATGTACAGGATTTATAAAGTTCTGGGAATACTCTTTAACCTCATAATACTAGCTACTTCACTGTTTGTGTGCCCTTCTTAATCTGACTCCTAGCCTCCACCTAGGGACCCAGTGACTGTGTTCCTCCCCTCTGATTAGTATATCCCAGATCAGAGTCCTCAGAGTTCCCTTTGTGGTTGGAGAGGACAGGAAGTGTTGGCATAGGGCCCAGGGGACAACCCCCCAACTCCGACTGTGTCACATGGGGAGCTGTTCTTTGCCAGATGTGGTAGATGCCGGAGTGTCCCTGGTCCTGGCTGGGTTAGGCCAGGGGGGAGGTGGAAAGATGGGTGGAGTAGGGGAGGGAAGGAAGCAGGGAACACATCTCTGGGATGGCCATTGGCTGATGGCCATCTCTGGCCAAGGCTGGCTTGTCTTCTTTCCCTGATTTCAGGATCTCAGTCTTGTAGCAAAGTCCAGCCATATCCCTGGAAGAAGCTTGGACACATGAGGCTCAAAGGATTGTTCTTAGAACCCCTTAGGCCAAGGGCAGGCTAACACCTGTCCAGAGTGGGGTTTAGGTCCCAAGCCAAATCCTGATGCATGAAGGTCTTTTCTTTGGCACTGCTTTTCATCCCGCTTTCGGCAGCCAGTGTACCCACTAGTTGGAGGTGTAGGGGGCACTAGGCCAAGGGCCTGGACAATGGTATGGAAGGGGAAGATAACTAGGGCCAAGAGTCAATGGCACAGGAAAAGTCTAGAGGGTTCCAGAGATGCCATCCCAGTCTGGACATTGAATCTATACTGGCAGGTATACTTACACGGAAGCTGCTGCCAGCTGTGTTTCCTGTGACTTGCCAGTGAATGCATTCCTCATAGAGACCACCGAGTATGGGGGAGCCCATGGGGATTGTGCAGCTGGCCAGGCTTGGCAGCAACTGCTCCATGGAATGTGAACGATCACTAGAGGGCTAGGGAACTGGCCTGGGGCCTCCAGTGGTCATTGATTTCTGGACTGGTCAGGGTTCTATCCTAAGGGGAACCTAACCTTAGCACTTGCTGGTAGTTAACATGCATGAAAGAATCTCGATTTCCAGATAAAACCTAGTTTTATGCCTAAGAAATGGCTTCCTAAGTTTAAAGTTTTAAAAAAACATATCCCCAGCTCTGGCCAGTTTGCTTTTTATACTGCACTTGATGTTCTTGGCCCCATGGTTGTGTGGGCTGAAGGCATCATGGACAAATAGTACCATGATACAAGGTGGCACCCACAGATGTCGGGAGGTGCTGTTAGGAGTCCATGGCTCTCACAGAGACTGCCTGGTTGGGGATGTGCTGGATGGGTGGGGCGGGCAGACTGACCCCCGCAGGTAGGGAGGCACTGAATGGGTGGATCCCCAGACCCAAGTTCTGTCTACTATTTATTGAGCACCTACTAGAGGCCAGGTCCTGGGTGGGCCTGCCTGTACCTAAATTTGATCACAGGCCTCACAACAACCCTGTGAGGTAAGTTTTCTGTGTGCACACACTGCCCTCCCCCAACAAAAGGCCAAAAGCCAAGAGAGGGTATACAGTGAATGCTGCTTACTCTGCACTATGGATGCGCTGGTGCTGGATGAGCTTAGTACTCTGGTGGAAGCGGCGGCCACAGTCCTGGCAGGCAAAAGGCTTCTCACGCCGGTGGGTGCGCAGGTGCTGCGTGAGCGTGGGCCGCTGGCGAAATGCCTTGCCGCACTCCGGGCATGGGTAGGGCCGTTCGCCAGTGTGGATGCGCCGGTGTTGTGTGAGATTGGCATGCTGCCGGAAGCTCTGGCCACAATCAGGGCAAGCAAAGGGCCGCTCACCCGTGTGGATACGCTGGTGTTCAGTGAGCCTTGATACTTGTGTGAAGCCCAGGCCACATTCACTGCAGTGGTATGGTTTCTCCCCGGTGTGCGTCCGCTGGTGGCGCGTGAGCTTCAGACGCTGGCTAAAGCGCTGGCCACACTCGGGGCAGGCAAAGGGCTTCTCGCCTGTGTGCACGCGCAGGTGCTGCGTGAGTGTGGGCCGCTGGCGGAAGGCCTTGCCGCACTCTGTGCAGGCGAAGGGCCGCTCACCTGTGTGGATACGCCGGTGCTGTGTGAGGTTGGAGCGCTGCCGGAAGCTCTGGCCGCATTCGGCACAGGCAAAAGGTCGCTCACCACTGTGTACTCGACGGTGCTGCAGCAGCACGGAGCGGCGGCCGAAGCGCTCACCACACTCCACACAGCCAAAGGATTTGTCACCCGTGTGCACTGCCTGGTGTTCTAGGAGCACGGCACGCCGCGTGAAACTCTCCTGGCACTCACTGCAGGGGAAGGGGCCTGGGGGCTCCAGTGCCCCGGGAGGCGTAGCCGGCGTGGTGGTCACAGAGCCGGGTCCCGGGGGGTCCCCATGGATGCGCTGGTGCTGCAACAGGTTGGAGCGCTGCCGAAAGCTCTGGCCGCACTCAGCACAGTGGAAGGGCTGTTCACCTGTGTGCACTCGCCGGTGCTCCTCCAGCCGCGCGCTGCGCACAAAGCCCTGGCCACAGTCACTGCACACAAATGGCCGCTCCTCAGTGTGTGTGAGTTGATGGCGCAGAAGGTGTGAGCTTCGGCTGAAACTTCGACCGCACTCGCTACACACGAATGGCCGCTCTCCTGTGTGTATTTTCTGGTGCCTCAGTAGGTTGCTGCGTTGGCTGAACACCTTCCCGCAAACGTCGCAGCGGCCACCTCGCCCTGCCCCGGGGCCTGTGCTGGGGCGGCCTAGGTCTCGGCCTCGACCCCGGCCTCTGGGCACACGCCAGCGGGCATTGGCCAGTATGGGGCCCAGGAGCTGGCCCGGATCCTCGTTCGTGGGCTTCTGCTCACCTCCAGGGCCATTGGGGAGCACCACTGCATGTGAGAAGCCACTTTCACAGGAAGGTGACTGCAGTTGGTCAGTGAGGCCAGCCATGCTGAGGTCCCAGGGAATGTGGAGGTGGGGGCTCACAGTGCCTGGGCCAGCAGAGACACTGTCCATGTGGAGCGCAAACCCTGCATCGCACAAAGGGATCCATACCAAGGGAACTGCCTGGACCCACTCTGGCCCATGGGAAAGATTGAACTAGAAGGACCTGAAACTAGCCAATGAACCAGAGGTGACAGGGGCAGGGGATCTATCTGTGCAGGCCTCCCTAAGGTGGAAACAACGGGACAGAACCTAGCATGAAGGGGAAGATTCAGAAGATTGGGACAAGCTTTCCAGGCCTGGCTTAAGTTTGCAAAAATCGCCTTTCTGGAAGTGCTGTAGGGCAAATATGGGGCAAGAGGCCCTGCACTAGTGATGATGGTTTCCAAATACACAGAAGTATGGATGGGTCTGAGAGTGGTGGGATGGGAGGAGGGTAGGCGGCAGGACTTTGGTCTGATGTGCCTTGCTTGAGATGTCCATGGGGCATTTGAGGGACAGAAACTGCATATAGGCTATAGGGTGCAGGAGCTGAAGCTCAGTCTTCAGAGAAATGTGAACATGGGTGCTATGGTATATGCATGGCACACAGAGCCCTGGCCCTGTGTGTGATCAAGTAAGAGTGGGTGTCTATGGAAGGGAGCAGGTCCTAGCCACACTGGAACACTCCAGCATTAGATCCTGTGTGAGGAAGGAGGTGTGAGCAAATGCAACTGAGAAGCAGGGGCTAGAGAAAGAGGAAGGCTGAAGGAAGTTAAGGAGACTTAAGAGAATAGCAAGGGCTTCAGTGGGTGACGGAAAAATCTGTAATTTGTCAAAGAAAAGTCCTAAATTATACTGCATCAAAGGAAATCATTTGTGCACAGCAAAGACAACCTCAGAACCAAAAAACGAATGACAGATTTTCCAGAAGCAAAGGGTTAATTAAGCTTCTAAGTAAAGAACTTAGAAGACCAGTGACCTGAAAAACAGGCAAATGATGTGAATAGGAAAGGAAATGTAACTAATGCTATATTCCATAAAATATGCTGAGTTCATTCCTAGTAAGAAACTGCCAGTTAGAGCTGTACTCAGCTATCATTTTCACACCCTCCCTGGAGGGACCCAAGTGTTTGCATGCCTTGCTGGTGAAGATTAAATGGGAAGCCAGTGGGGCAAAACTACATTAAAATGGCAAACTTCTCATACTTTGATCAGCAATTTCACTTTTATGCACTTCAACAGTTGTGTTCCCCACTGTCCAAAATGACCTATACGTGAGGTTTCTCAGTTCGTCACTGAAAAATTCCTCCAAAGGAATGTCAGTAGGAGCCTGAATGGACAAACAGGTATCTCCACAGTGAGCCACAGTTGGGATCCATGCAGCTGTTCAGAGACAAGTATACTTGCTGCTGTGTGAAGTGGGAAGATGCACAAAAAATGTCAGGTGTGAAACCTGGTGATTAGGCCTTCACATGTGTTTTAAAGGGAAGAAATATGAACTTGAATTTGTGTCTGCTCTTTTATGAACAAAATCTTTTTGGAAGAACACCCAAGATGGTAATGTTGGCTATTGAGAAACAAGACTGTGTAACACAGGCAGGATAGGGAGGGGCATTCTACTGTGTACTCCCTTGTGCCTTTTGAATTTTCTATCATATCATTAGCTTTTCAAAATAACATGATGAAAACAATGGCTGCAGAGATGGTCAGTTGAGGGGCAAGGAGAGCAGGCAGGGGTCCTGATGGAGAGACCAAGATAACTGAAGGGAATCAGTGTTTGAAGCTGGGAGCTGCGATTGTCAATGGAGAGACTGAGAAGGAACCCACCATGGAGTCTGAGGTGGTGCCACTGGTGTGGATGAAGAAAACTGAAAGACTGTGGGGTTGTGAATTGAGAGAAGCAGGTCCAATCTGGAGGCAGTGGTCAGCCACAAAGCACAAGGCTAAGCCTGGCCAGCCAGCTGAAGACTAAAACAGCAGATGGGGGATATGCCAGATCCTACTCTTTCAACTCCAATGTCCAGAAATGACAACAGAACCTGAGAAAAAATTTTAAAATATTTTGGGCAACTTCAAAGGAAGAAAGGACAGTTGGTGAGGTTTAGGAATCCTCAGCCTGGGGATGCCTGGGTGGCTCAGCAGTTGAGCATCTGCCTTTGGCTCAGGGTGTGATCCTGGAGTACCAGGATCGAGTCCCACATCGGGCTCCCTGCATGGAGCCTGTTTCTTCCTCTGCCTGTGTCTCTGACTCTCTCTGTGTCATTAAAAAATAAATAAAGGAATCCTGAGCCTGTGCAGTGAGTTGTAAAGCTCCTAGGTCATTAGACCTAGGGATTAAAGCCAGGCTCTATCATGAAGCTGGAGTTTGAGGATATGGGCTAGATTAGTACAGTTGATCCACACAGCTGGCCAAGAATAAGCTGCTTGCTTTGGCTGGGCTCCAGAAGTATCTTCACTCAACGTCCTGGGGCCCAGATGATCTTTCCATTTCAGGGTTATGATGGATCCTGTGGCAGACTCACCTACCATGATACTTAGGGTAGAGACAAATAAGAAGCTTCTATAGCTATGAAGGGCAGACTGTCAATGGTTGGAGAATTCACACCTGAAGAAACCAAACTAGCTAACCAGCCTGGAAGGGGCACTGAAATATGTCCAAATCCTCAAAGGATGGATCAGCATCCACAAAACAAGGACATTATGAAAAACGAATGATGAGAATCCTTATTGACAAAACATAGTGAATAAGGAATTCTGGGTATCTATGTTTGTTCCATCCTGAGACAACAGTAAAAACCACAACAAAGCTTTCTGTTTCTTAAGGCATAATATACACAAAGATTAAAGAAAAGGAAAGGAAACAAACTCCTGACATCTTCTATTCTGGAAAGCTGAAGGGTAAATAGTAACCTTGTAGCAGATTGCAAAAGGTGAATACCAAGCCAGCAGTGAGGAAAAGGAGGGAAAAAAATCAGTTTGACCTTAAAGACGACTTGAAAATTTTGGGAGTTAGAAGTACCAGGTAGCTCTGGCCATGGAGGTGATGGGACAGGGGCACCAAGCATGCTGAGGAGACTGTTCAGAAGTAGAAGCTGGGCAGGACTATTGCATGGAACAGCCCTGGGCTCTGTCAGCACAGAATTCTAAGCAAATATTGGGCACTGCTATAGCTCTGATGCCTGGATCTCTTCTCCCATCCTGGCAAAAGGCTGGGTGGAGGGTGAGACACCATACCAAGGAAGCAATATAGCCAACAGTGAAGTGATACATATTCCAGAAACAAGGAACAATAGAGGGAAAGGAAATCAGAGAAACAATTAAAGCGTTTCCCATAATTGAGAGAGAGGAATTTTCAAACTGAAAGGGCTTATCAACAATGATGATGAAAAAGCTTTGAAATTTAATAAAAATTCTTCATGCAGCCCAACTAACCTAATATAGAATGTTAAGTAAGTGTATTTTAGAGATGTAGCATCTCAAAACTTTTTATCTCCCATACCAGAGTTTGCAGGAAGGTCCGCCAGGATAAGACAGTAAACCAAGAAAGAGGAGGGGTCCAAGAAACAAGGAAGAAGAGGCAAGGAAACTGGCTGATGGCAGACTGAGAGCAGTACAGCTGAGGGGCCTGCTGTCCTGCTTGATCCATGCCCACCCACTGTCCACTAACCTGCTGTCTTTGCCAGATCCAGACCCTCCCTCCCCTGCTACTTAATCAGTAGGGACTACCCTGCTGTCTTTGCCAGATCCAGACCCTCCCTCCCCTGCTACTCAATCAGTAGTAATGCAAACCTAGAATCTATGGGCCATCCAGGATGCCAGGGCTGGGAGAAGTTGGGGATATGGTGAAAACAGGCTCTGCTCTCTAGAGGTTTTACTGTGGTGAGGAGCAGCAGTTGGAAGGAACCTGAAGTCAGCAGAGGGCTTGATGGAAACCCCAGCAGCCTACTCCATGCCAGTGGAGAGCAGAGAAGGAACAGTCCATAGAATGGAGGAGCCTAGAGATACTGGAGTAAGAGGGCCACATGAGCAGGGCCAGGAGTGGGATAGGTAGATGTGGTGCTGCCCATGCATAGGGCCCAGGCCCACCATGCCCGGTCTCACTCACCTGGAGGGAAGATGCCCCCAGCTTCCTCCTGCCACAGGGCCCCAGGATGCACCCTCCATGAAGGCCCCTCAAGCCCAGTCTTGCTGTGGGGAGAGGCCTGGTCCAGCACTATCTCACAGCCCTGAAACCACAGTGGTCACTGCTCGTCTGCCCAGCCAGGCTTAGGGAGGGACCTACCTGACCCCCACCCACTGAGGCTCCCCAGAGAGAGGAGCATGGCCTGTATGGGACTCACCTGGGCCTCTTTAGGCAGGAGAGTAGAAGTGGCTTCCTGGGGAGTGGCTAGAGGCCCAGAATCCAGAAGCTCTGTAGAGGAAGGTTGGGGTCAGGTGGCCCAAGGGTGTCCCCACCCCAGTGCCCTCCTCAGTGGTATGCCAGATGCTGGAATCCACCTTGAGGTTGGAGTAAGGCAGAACCCCCTGGAAGGCCATAGGAGAAGCTGTACAGGATGAGAGAGGCTCAGGTCTGTGCCCTGCACCCCTGAATGAGCCCTGAGCAGGATGGCTAGTGAAAGTGGAGAGAAGCACTGCACTAGGGTCCACAAAGGAATGATGGAGAGTGTGGGTGGCCAGCTCTGGCATCTGCCTGGAAGGAGTAAAACAGGGACGGGCATACCTCCCAACACCCTGAGGTCCTCCTTCAGCCATACCCACCCATATTCAAGCCTGCTGCCTGCTCCCCAGAGACCACCTATTATCTCCCGATGGAGCTCCTTGGAGAGTAAACCCCACATGCCCTCCCAAGCCAAAACCCCAACATGTCAGGGGAGAACACAGAACCATAGCTGTGACAGTCACACTTGGCATGTGACGAGCAGATGGCCACTGGCTAGGCAGGATGTAGGGGACACCACTGCAAAAGAACAGTTCTACCCAGGTGACCTTTAGGCTATTGACACCAGGCACCTCTGGTCTACTCAATCAGGCTTTGGATCATGCATGCCTTTCCCACCCTTACCTCGGTTCTCTGTAACCGTGGGCTCCTCTTTCACCTGAAGGCCAAGTGGTGACTCTTGTCTGACTTCAGATGGTGTCCTAGGGCCACATTCTGGAGTCTGAGGCTTGGTTTGAAGGAGGGGCTGGAAGTTGGAGGGCTCCATCTTCTCTGATAACACCTCCTGACCCTGCACTTGGACTGTGACCTGGGGAGGTGTCCCCCACCATCAGGGGCCCATGCAGAGAGTTGGGATGGGCACAAGCAGGAGGTTCATGGGCATCTACCCCATCACAGGACCCCAGGTCCTGACCCACTAGATTCTCAAGGACCCACATCCCCTCAGCACTGAGGAGTGGAGGGACCACGTGCAGTTTGCTTTCCTGCTGCTTACACCCATGAATGCCTATTGGTCTCCCTTGCTCCCCACCCTGCATCCCTTCCATGTCCATGACTCCAGGTGATATAGGGGTGGGCCTGAGAGGCTGGCTGTGGAACCTTGTCTACTCTCACACAAGGTCTACTCCAAGGGAGCCACTTCCAAACCACAAGGAACAGGTGTCTGGCCGAGCATGGCAATCCCCAGGATGAGGCAGAGCTGGATGCGGTTCCAGCCTGGGCCCTGGCTCAGGACCACTGACTCACCCATCTCCGGGGGCCTCCTGGCTCCCGGCGCAGCCCCTCAACCAGGGCAGCGGCCTCCTCAGGGCTGCCTGGCTGCTGTCCCTCCACGCAAGCTTGGATCTCAGGGGGCAGTGCGCACAGGAACTGTTCCAGTACCAGGAGCTCCAGCATCTGCTCCTTGGAGTGCACCTCTGGTCGCAGCCACTGGCAGCATAGCTCCCGGAGCTGGGCCAGGGCCTCTTGGGGACCCACTGCCTCCTCATAGTGGAAGTGTCGAAAACGCTGGCGCGCAGCCTCTGGGCCAGGATCCCACCGGGTGGCCTCACCCTCCTCCTCAGAGTCCTCCAGCTTCACCATGACAGGTCCCTCATCTTCCAGGGATGTGTGACCTGGGGAGCCTAGTGCTGCGGGTCTCATTGGAAAGACTGGGCTGGGGTTCTGAGGATATCTTCCCCTAGGAGAGGAATAGGATGAGGCTACTGCAGGGAGAAACTGTGGCAGCAAATGCTTATTAAACATCTACTGCATGCTTCGTTCCATCTTCAGACCTGCACTGAGTGAAAGGCAGATGAGAAAACTGAGGCACAGAGAGGTGGTCACATGCTAGACATCTGTGTCTCTGGTCTCTAGCTGGGACTTACACAGTCTCTGGCATTCCTTTTCTCCATATATAGGAGGCTTCTTAGGCACAGTAAGCATTCCTTCTTCCCTAAATCCTGCCCTTCAACACACACCACGTCATCCCTGTCTTGTGGCTCTCCCCCTGCCAAGTAAATGACATCTGCAATGTAAGTGCCACTACCACCCACCCCCCAGGACTCCCCATGCCTGCCCAATACCAGCCCATCATTGCACCACCCACTCTCCCATCTAGTCTCTCAGACCATTCCCTTCTGCGCTCAGTCCCATAGGGCAGCCTCTATCTGTTCCCCACCCCCAGAGATGGGCAAGATCAACTGGGCAAGGCAGCTTCCCCTCACCCCCATTCAGCCTCAACCTCTGAACCGGCCCAACTTATCACACAAGGTAATGCCCCACCATCTCTTTAGCTTCCTGATTTAGGCGGGTTTAGGAGGTGATGGGAGCTTACAGGGGACCCAAAAAGGTCCCAAAACAACTGGACCAGGTGCCTGCAAGCAAGGTGGGAAAATCTGATCTTGCCTATTAGCTATGTAACCTTAGCAGGTTTCTGTGAACCTCAGTTTCCCCATCTTTACCATCCCCGATAAGTGGGGATGCCCCCCCCTTCCCCGCCATTGCTGCACCTTTCGCAGCTGGGAGTAATGTGCGGGTTTTGTGAAGGAATCTGAGTTTATTAAGTGAGTAGACTCGATTTCCAGGGCCTCTGGATCCCGTGAGTCAAACTTCCGACCTGCAACCTTGGGAGAAAGTTGGACCGTTTTTAAGCCAGCTAGCCACTGCGAAGCTTTCTGAACTACAGTTACCAGAAATCTTGGAGGGCAACTTCCACTTTAGAGAGCATCCCCTCCCTACCTCCCCAGGCAGGTCAAGTGCCGCCATGGCAACCAGGGGGCGGGGCTCCCAGTCCTTGTAGCTGTGGTAATGCAGTGAGTGAAGAGCGTCGCGCGACAGCGCCCGGCTCGCTGAGAATGAGTGCCTAGGCCCCTACTCCGCGCTCCAGATCCCGCTGGATAGCTGGAATCCAAGAGTCCGCAGCCACCAACCGGGTCCCCGCCCAAGCCTTCCTCGTCGGGAGGCCCCCGCCCTCACCTCCATGCTCAGCCGGCCGCTCCGCGCTCCTAAGCATGCGCACTCGCCGACTTCCCCCTCCCCGGCCGGACTATGTCTCCCAGAATGCTCCACGCATCAGCCCGAGTGCCACCTTGCCCTTCCCCTACCCTCGCCTCCTTTTCCACCCTCTCCCCTGTTCCCCGGGGTAGCGTTGTTCGCAAAGATCAGATCACACGACCGGCCGCCTCTTCCCGCGCTCCCCGCCTCAGATCCAGGCGTCCATGCCCCGTCGACGTGCGCAACCTTCTTTGGGGACAGCGGACAGCAGCACCGTCTTCCCAACCGCGCATGCCCCCCATCACGTTTTCCTCAATTCTTTACGGGCCTTCCAGGGATTAGCAGGGTTCTGCACCAATTACCGCTCTCGCTACGACGCCGTCAGATCACATCTCCATGGCAACCACCTGCAGAAAAGGTGGGGCACCGCCTCCACCGCCCGCTCGGACTTCAAATTGAAAAGAGGCTCGGCCCAGGGCTTTCTGGGAAGTGTAGTCGGATGCGCCGTCCGTGCGCGCTTGCGTCGCGCGACGACGTTCCTTTGTGTTGGTGAGCGGTAGGCGGGCCTGGGAGACTCCATTGGGCCAACCCGTAGGTCTTCAGCAGGACCTTGGGGGACCTGGTGGGCGTTTGAGAGGCGGTGGGGGTCGTGGGGTAAGGGCTTGGGTAGCCGACAGAGGCAGAGAAGCCGAGCAAGACAGTGAGGAGAGACAGACAAAGACAGGGCAAGGAGAGGCCCAGGGCCCACTGGGGGCAGAGAGAGCTGAGGAGAGGCAGTGTTCAAAGTAATTGAACAGATACAGAGACTGAGACACTGGTAAGAAAGAAAGTCAACAGGGAGGAATATCTACTCTCAGAGACCTAGAGAATGTGAAAAGAAGCCAGAGGATCAGAGAGTCAGGGCCGGTTAGACATTAGACAGGAGTGTCAGAAAAGTTAGCAAGAGGGAGGGAGATCACGAAGGGATGGATATGAAAGGAGAGACAAAGAGGGTGAGGGAGAATAGATTCACAAAGTGCAAATATCGAGATTCAAGAGATAGACAAGGAATACTGGCATACAGAGAGACAAGAGGAGAGAAAGGGACAAAACTTAGAAATACAGCAAAGATGGAGAGTTTTCAAAGACCTAGAGAAGGGGGACAGCAAGAAGTGAGACAGTTGGAGGTAGACTTGTTAGGAAAACTTATCCAAAATTTGACGGGGGACGCCTGGGTGGCTCAGCGGTTGGGCGCCTATCTTCTGCTCAGGTCTGATCCCGGAATGCGGGATTGAGTCTCGCATCGGGCTCCCTGCGAGGAGGCTGCTTCTCCCTCTGCCTGTGTCTCTCATGAATAAATAAATAATAAAGTCTTTTAAAAATTTTGACAATAGGACAAAAAGATGATTGGGAGCCCTCTCTGCGTTTCCTGGCATTGTCTGTCAAGCCAGCTTCTGATTCTCGAAAACGAAGTAACACTTTCTCTCTTAAGTACCTTTTTAAAAAAAAATATTTTATTTATTTATTCATAGAGATGCAGAGAGAGAGAGAGAGGCAGAGGGAGAAGTAGACTTCATGCAGAGAGCCTGACGTGGGACCCGATCCCGGGGCTTCAGGATCACGCCCTGGGCTGCAGGCGGCGCTAAACCGCTGCGTCACCGGGGCTGCCCTCTCTTCTCTTAAGTACCTTTTGATCAGAATCCAGGCTGCAAATGCTTGTGGTTAGAGTTGTGTATCACCTCTAGGACACCGAGCAGAAACTGACACCCGGGCCCGCTACCCTGTGGGCGCACTACTAATTCGACTTTGGGCTTTTATTTCAGTGCTCCTTTTTCTCACCTTTTCTGTTCTTTCTCATCTTTCTGGAACCACCTATGTCATCCTAGTTCCCTCCATGAGGTAAATAGCTTTTTGACACGCAATCATAGAGCTTATTTTTAACTTTTAAAAAATATTTGACAGTCTGAGCGGAATGAATTCTTCAGGATGGGAGACAAACCGAGAGAAAGAGAAAACGGACAGCCGGGAAGGGAAGGAGATAGGGAGGATGATGGAAAGTCACACAAAGTAGGCGGCGGGAAAAATTCGAGAGAAATGAAGCAGCTTCGGGCAGAGAAAGCCTCCGGCGCCCCCGGCTGGACTCTACGCGCAGCGCCCCCGTCGCCGAACTACATTTTCCGGCCGGCCTGGGAGTGCCGGGCGCAGAGCTCAGAGCCCTCAGGGGCGGGACTCCTCCAATCTCGCCAGTCCCGGTCAGTCTTGCGTCTCCGCGGATAACATGGAGGCTGAGCTCAGCCGCCTCCAGAAAAAGGCACTGTAAGGCAGGAGATGGGGAAGAGCCACAGCCCCACCGGCCCAGCAGAAGCAGCTGGCCCGCGTCGCGGTCTGGAGGTGAGGACGGTCGGCCGCCCGGGGGTCCTGTCTCCGGTGGCGGGGGCTGGGACGCCGTTTCCCTTGGTTCCGAAAGGCGGGATGGGAATGGAGAGAGGCCGCTGCGCGCTCAGCCGGACTGGCGCGGATGGGCCAATCGGAGCTTCCCGCGGCCCCGCGGCTGTCGGGGAATTGTAGTCTCACCGGGACGAGCCCTGTCTCCCATCCAGACCTTGGGCAGTGAGCCTCTCCGCTTGGGGCTTGGAGACTTTCTCTCGTGAGTGAAAGAGGGAATGAATGAATGAACATATCGGTGAATTAATTAAAATTTTTGGGTGAGCAGAGGAAGGGATGTTGGAGAAAGAACAATGGCGCGTGAGTGGTTCAGAATTCCGAGACTCCTTCCAAGCTAGAGGCGCCTTTCCCATGCCCACCCACCTATCTCTGCCTCCCAGGCTCGAGGGTCCTGTGGCCTGTACTACCTTGTTTCAAGCATGTGCAGCCCATGGATCATTGAAGGTATTGATGCTATACCTATAGGTGCCATAGTCGGCGCAAAAACAGACTTGTCACTCATTTGTCCATGCTTTCACAGGCAGTCAGGTGCTACTTTCTCATGGTTCAAAATGCAGAAGGGACAAGGTGAAAAACCTGCCTCCCACCGCTGCATTTTATTTAATAATTTCTTCAGCAAACCACTACTGCACACAGTATTCCTGGGCCTGGACACAAGGGAAAGATCAGCAGACACAGCTACTATCTTCAGGCAGCATGTGACAGATGCACCAAAAAAATGTCGATGGGGAAGGCCTCTTTGATCAGGTTACATTTGAGCAGAGATCTGTAGGAGAGGGAACAGACCATGCAGATAACAGGGAAGAACTGGGCCCTGGGCGGAAGGAAACAGGAGCCCACGTAGTTGGCCCCAAGGATGTGGGCAGGAGTGAACAAAGTAAAGGAGGAGGCTTTGAGGCGCTTCACCAAGTGCTTGGTGAGGATTGTGGCTTTTACTTACAGCTGGGAGGTCTCTGAGCAAAGCAGGGGTAGGATCATAGTGCTTACTGAATCTTTGTGGCTACTGTGTGGAGAACCACCTTTGTCCTCTATTCCCAGGTGCTCTATGATTGATGGCATGAATTAGGTTGGCTTCCTTCTGCTTTAGTTTATGACTGGTGTAACATATTACTGAAAAATGAGGGGTTTAAAACAACAAATATGTATTATCTTAGAGACTTGGAGGTCAGAAATCTGAGATGGATCTCCATGGGTAAAATCAAGGTATCAGCAGGGCTAGTTCCTTCTGGAGGTTCTAGGCTTCAGTGGTCACTTGCCTTCTTCTGAGTGAAATCTTTTGCTTCCTCTTGCAAGAACCCCTCTGATTACATTTAGGACCCATTTGAATAAACCAAGATAATCTCCCCATCTCAAGATTATTAATTTAATCACACCCACAATATCCTTTTTGCCATGTAAGGTAACTTATTCATAGGGATTAGGATGCCTAGTGCCACCTCCGGAAAAAGGCACTATAAGGCAGGAGATGAGGAAGACCCGCAGCCCCACTGGCCCAGTAGAAGCAGTTGGCCTGCATCGCAGTGTCTAGACTATCTCATGGTTGCAAGAGGTCTGCTGGGGGAAGAGAGCAGAATCTCCTAGCAGATTCTCTTGATCTCATAGGTTAAAACTAAGTGACATGCTCACAAGAATGCTTGGAAGTGAGTGTGCAGTGTTTTTAGCAGTCGGGAAAGAAGGGACTGGGCATGCCTCTGAGGCAATGGTCAGCAGTGGGAAGTACTCTGCTGTCAGAGCATGGGAAGGCCAGCTAGTAGTTGGGACTTCCAAGTACTCACGCATTAATGCCCATGTGTCCTTGTCCTACAGGTAGAGGCAGGTGTGGCAGGAGAGGCCAAGAGGCTGCCATTGTGGGCACACACTGGACAGGCACTGGGGAGAGACCTCATCAAGGCGCGTGGCTCAGGGAGGCGGAATGAAGACAACTCCCCGGCTGCAAGTGTCAGGGAAGGCACCCCTTGGTGGGATTGGTCTCCGCCACAGTGCCAAGCGGGACCGAAAGTCCATCACACTGCATGTAAAGTTAGAGGTGCTTCGGAGGTTTGAGGAAGGTGAGAAGCTAACTCAGATTGCCCGAGCCCTGGGGCTGGCCACCTCTACCGTCGCTTCGATCCGTGTCAACAAGGACAAGATCTGGGCCAATTCTCAGGCAGCCACACCTGTCAGTGCCACACAGCTGACCCGCTGCCGGGGTGTGGTGATGGGCCATATGGAACGCTTGCTCAGCCTATGGATTGAGGAGCAAAAGCGGCAGAACCTGCCCATCAGCACACTGCTCATCCAGGATAAGGCACGACGGCTCTTTGTGCAGCTGCAGCACGAGCAGGGCAATGGCACTCAGGCTGAGACCTTTGGGGCCAGTAATGGCTGGTTTGCCCGATTCAAGGCTCGCCACAATGTGCTTTTGACAGATGAGCCATCCGTGGCTGACACCCAGGCTGCTGCCCACTACCCCCTAGTGCTGCGCACCATTCTGGAGGAAGGCTGCTACTCACCACGCCAAATCTTCAATGTGGATGAGACGGGCCTATTCTGGAAGCGGCTCCCAGAGCGCATGCTACTGGCACTGGAAGGGGCAGCTGGGCCTGGCCTCAAGGCCTCTAAGGACCACCTGACCTTGCTGCTTGGTGGCAATGCAGCTGGCGATTTCAAACTGAAGCCTCTGCTGGTGTACCCCTCAGAGAACCCACGTGCTCTCAAGGGCTGCTCCAAGGCCAGCCTTCCTGTGGTCTGGCGCTCAAACCGCAATGACTGGCTGACACCCAGCATCTTCCAGGAGTGGTTTACTGGCTGCTTCTGCCCTGCTGTAGAGAACTACTGTGCCAGCCACGGCCTCCCACACCGTGCCCTGTTGCTCCTGGATGGCGCGCCCTGCCACCCTGCTCACCTGGATGGCCTCTCAGCCCATGTGAGAGTTGAATTCCTGCCCAAGAACACATCGGCCCTGATCCAGCCCATGAACCAGGGTGTCATTGCCACATTCAAGGCCTATTACCTGCGCCGCATGCTCAGCCAGCTAGTCCAGGAGACAGCTGGTGAAGACCGACCCTCTGTGCAGGAGTTCTGGCGAAGCTATACTGTTGTGACCGCTGTGGACAATATAGCCGAAGCCTGGGCAGAGCTGCAGCCTGTCACCATGAACAGTGCCTGGAGAAAGCTCTGGCCCGAGTGTGTCCCTGCTGGCACACCTGAGCCTGACACTGTGCCTCAGCTCCGCCGCAGCATTGTTGCACTAGCTAGCCACGTGGGCCTTGGAGATGCAGCTGAGGCTGATGTTGCCAACCTACTGCAGGCCCATGGGGAGCACCCCCGCCACGGCATCCCCCAGGATACAGAAGATGGGGACATCAGTGGCTCTGGGTTGCCTTGGGAGGCAGGGAAAGGCTCAGTTTCCAGAAAACCAGAGCCAGATTTCACAGAGGCTGTGGTGGGTGCAAGGACTGAGGAAGCTGGTGTGGGTGCTCTGAGCCCCGAGCACCTGGCCCAGGCCCTGTCTCACTTTGCTGCTGGTTTACGAGTCCTCATGGAGAATGATCCAAACCGGGAGCGCAGCCTGCGGGTCTCTCGGGGTGTCCACTGTGCCCTTGCCCACCTCTGGGAGCTGCACCGGGAAGGGAGGCGACAGGCTCGGGCAGCTGCATCCTCAGGAGGCCTCACTGCAGTGGCAGCAAGGGAGTTGGCAGGAAACCTGCCTTTGCCCCAAGTAGGGCCCATAGAGGGTAGAGAAGTGGCTAAGGGCACACGTCCAGAAGGGCAGACCTCTGGCTGTCCTGTATGATTTGGGGCTTGGACTTGACCTCATGTGATCTCTGTCTAGTGATGTTTTGTTTCTGGAGGTCAGATACTGCTACTTCTCCCACATGGTTCTCATATCTCATGATCTGTGGTCTCTGTATAGTGACATACAGCTTCAGGCTTGGGGAACAGAAGGGTGGTGGTCTCTGATTGGCAGATGAATTGTAGGGCCCAGGAGTGCCCTCCCATGACAGAGACACATCCTGTAGTATGGTAGTTGCCCAGCATAGCCTGCCAGGGCAGCTTTCCTTGTGGTGAGAGGCCAGAAGTAAGATCAGCCTCTTCCATTTTCCAAACTTGACCTCTCCCTGCACCATTGGAACCCTTCCTTGCCAACTTTAGATGAGGGTTTCCTGTTCTGGGCATGTCTGTTCTCACTTTCCATGCCATCCTCACGTCTTCTGGCTTCCATGGCCTCTGTTGACTCGGGTCTCTGGTACCTTCTCTGTGCCTGAGCACTTTGATACTGTGGATTTTGATACCAGGGATCACTTCCTTGGTGAGATGTTTTCTTCCTGAGTTTCTGTGGTATAGTTGTCTTGGCTTCCTTCCATCCTCTGAGGTTGAGGCTTTTGTGACTGTGATGGTCTCCCTATTCTGGTGCTCTTTGAAAAATACCATCCACTCCTAAGAGCTCAGTGATCAACTCAGGGTTAACTCCTAGTACATTGGTTACAGCCCAGCCTCTCCCTGAGTTAGATCCAAAGCTCTGATTCTGATGGACACACACACACACACACACACACACACACACACACACACAGTTTTATTATCTCCCCTAATTCCAGTTTGTTTTTCTGTCCCCCAAACTATAACAATGGGCATTGTGGGGTGTCCATCTGACTGCAGAAACACCACCTGGGTCACCAAAACCAAAGCTGCATGAGCCACAGGTGGTGGGACAGGGGTGTCTGGGCTTTTGAACTCCTTTGAACACAAGTGCACATACACACACTCACACCAAGTAATAAAGATGAGAGAAAGGATTCCTGCTACTTCTGTCAGCTAACACTGCATCGATGGGCTTGCTGTCATATCACAGGGGCTGGGGGCCAGGGAGGGACTTGAACAGCCAGCCTTATTGGGAGAAAGGTCATATGAGGCCCCACGCTTGCTTTCCTGGGGAAAGTAGTAAGAGGGATGACAAAGAGAAGGGAAGCTTTTCTTAGGATTCTGGTGACAGACTGGATTAATTGATTGCACAATTTGTGAGTACTTGTAATATGCCAGGTGTTGAGGAGACCAGAGTGAGACTGACTTCAGGAGCTGCCAGTCCAGAAGTTGTTGCATTCTATGTGACAATGATATGGGAGAGCTTGGTTCTTGTCTCACGGAGTCGAAGAATGAATCTCGTGGACACAGGAGAGTGAGTAAAGTGATAAAAGTTTAAGTAAAGATACAGAGAAAGCTCTCAGGAGTGAGAGGGGTCCCAACAGGGTTGCCCCTGAGGGCTTGTAGGGTTGGTCTTTTATTGGAAGCCTAATCAGGGAACCTAAACCCTTTTTTTTTCCCCCTAAACCCTTTTAACATTATCTATTGACATCACATTGAGTAAGGACTATTGATAACATCTTTAATGGCATACTTCTTTGGGGTCTGGTTATTCTTTGTTGGTCACAAGTAGCTGTTATTACAAGACACCCTCCCCACCCACACCTTAGGGCAGGGTGGTCTGGCTTGTTCCTTAATCTCTGGTTTCCTTACAACTCAGCAGTTTTAGGATTTTGTGTGTGCTTCCGTGGCGCCCTACCTAGCCCTGTTTGTCCCTAACTCAACAAGGCTATGACAGGTGACTCAGGAGAGACCCCCACCTAGCCCGGGGTAGAGGTAGAGGATAGGACATAATGGATAGGCTTTCTGGGGAAGTGGTATCTTAGCTTTCAGGGACCTTGCTGACAAGAAACTAGTCATTTCCAAATGCTGCGTGTTACAGAGGGGCTTTACAGAGGCAGCCCAGTGTAGTGGGGTGATGATTGGTGAAGCCTAAAGACCAGGAGAAAGGGGTATCCTCTGTGGAGGCTGAGTGCGGTACAGCAGCTGAAGGAGACAGGTGACCATGTGGGAATCGTTGAGGCCAAATCTGAATGTGTGGAAGGAATAGTTACATGAGCAGCCACTCGTGGTCATCCAGGCGTTGTGTAGCAGAGATGAGGCACACATGGGCCGGTCCAGGCAACAGGGCTTGTTTTTTCAGAGCCAGGGACAGCGCCTGACCCTCAACAAACGCGATGCGGGAGACCCTGGATTCTTCGACCAGCAGCCTTCCTAGGCCCCTGAACATTTCAGAGTGGCCCTGGTGGTGGATCAGGGAAACCCGGTGTCTTCTGGGAAATGCAGTGTCTGCAACTCTACAGGCTGGCTCTCCGACACTCTTGGGAACTACATTTACCAGAGAGCCTGGCCAACAGAGACTGTCTTCCGTGCCTTTCACTTCCGGGCGTGGACCGTTTCCATAGAGACTTGAAGCACCTGACGCCAGTTTCCCTCACCTCTTGGCGTTTTTGCGCGGAATGGTCGAGTGGGGGGCGGGGGTTGCACGCGAGGGGAAGGGCACAGGCGCCGGAAGCAGTCAGTGGAGGGGCCGGCAGCTTCCGGTTCTCGTTGCTAGGCTGGGGTTGGTTGCTGTCCCTGCACAGTGGAGCGGTCACGTGTGGCTCCCAGGGGTGGGGTGTGTGTGTGTGCATGAGTCGCGCAGTGCAGCCACAAGTGTTGGAAAAGGCCTGGGGCAGGGTGTGTGCCGCCCGGCGGAGGGCGGCAGCGGAAGTGGTGAACAGAAGCACCGCCGGTTTCCCAAAAAGCCCTGTTAGTCCTCGAGGAAAGGGATCCCGGGGCGCTTGGGATGCGGAGTGTTCCATGATCGCATCCTGACCCGGAAATGATTCCGGGCTGAGTTCGTCCCTGGCCGCTCCTCCGGTTCTGCCCTCGAATGGGTGCTGTTAACCTTCCTGAGCCGAATTTCTCGGGCTTCTCTACAGCAGTTCCCTTTTAGATGGATACCCAACCAAGCTCTTTCAAAACTGTTCTTACTTCCTCTGCGGAGGTCAATTTCCGTAGCCCAGGCCTGAATTCCCTCTTTGCTCCCACTACGCGTCCGGCCGTCTGTATGTGAGAGTGCTCCGGGAGGGCACTCCACACTCCAGGATTAAATTGCAGACCCTTACGCGGCCGAAGGCTCTGCAGGATTGCCCTGGCGACAGGGCTCTGGCCTGATCTGATCCCACTCCCCAGAATGTTCTCTCCTGTAGCTTCCTCAGGACACCTGACAGCCAGGTGGGTGGGTGTGGGGGGGGGGGAGGGCGGCGGGCGCGGGAATGGAGCTGCCCGGGTCTGGGGAACCCTGACCAACCTTTTTAAAAACACGTGCTGGCAATGAAAATAGTCCCTTTGAAAAGTTGCAGTGGTAACAAATGGCCGTTCCCCCCCTTCCCAGATGTCTGACGGTATGTAGAGATTTATAAAAGAAAAAAAACGATGTTGGCCTCCAGTTACTTTACCCAGGTTTGCCCACTGGGGGTTTGTTCTTCAGGCGCCATTTCTGAACATTTATAACAGCTCCTGCGTAGGCTCACACACATAATATACTGGAGAGGTTTATGGTTTTAAAGTGTTAACATTAGTGGAATCACCGGTGGGGAGGTCCACAGGTTACTTTCTTGTTTAACATTGTAGAGTGGAAATCTCTCCTTGTCATTTTTTGATCTTACTGGTTTGAGGTTCTGTAGGAGTCTGCCATGGGGGGAGGAAGGCCTTCCAGTGTAGGAGTCAGCTATTGCCATCCCTGTGCCTGGCCCATGCTAGCTGCACTGCCTCTGTCCCTAGCTTCATCTTGCCCTTCCAGTCTGTCCCCCATATCACTCTTCCCGGTGCATGGCAGATTGCATCCTTCACTTGCTCAGACCCTCCCTCGGCACTGACCCTCTGCTAGTTCTCGCCTGCACTTCTGCTTGACTGCTGGTGGGGTTCTCTTAGTTCATCGGAACATGACAAATCCATGCCCCCTATCCTCAGGAACAACTCTTCTATCTTTACCCAGTCTGGCATCAGCTATTGTAAACTTCTGCAGGGGTGAGTTTGCTCTCCTCTTAACCAGATTCCCAGTGCCAGGTGTTCTTTTAAGGGCACAGATGGGGAGGCTGGAGGTATCCCCTACCAGGTTGCCAGCTGGCAAGACTTGAGGGGCCCTGATTGGGTAGGCATTTGTCCCAGTATGATGGTGTGTGGCCTGAGTGAGTGTGGGGGAGGCCAGCTTCCCAACGTCTCACCATGGCAGCCCCACTGAATGCATGCCATGTTTCAGGCCATATAAATCAAGCAGGGAAGGAAACAAGATTTCTGCCCTATTGAAACTTAGTCTATTTGGAGAGTTGAATAGTGAGACCACCAGTCACGATTAGGGTGTCCTTTCTCTGGATAGGGTGGAGGCACAAGGAGGTGAGCACAGAGGTCAGCCTGGCCAGGGATGGCTTTGCATTTCCTGCCATGTGGCATTTTCACCTTAGCTACAGGTATGCCTGTATGCCTGTGAGGCGGGGATAATGATGAAACAGGCAGGAGAGATGGTTGGTTAGGATGCCATCATTCATCCTGGCATTTGTTCACACATTCGCTACGCATAACCTATGCAGTGACTTTTACTTTCTTGGTTCTCTGTATCAAGAGGTAGAAACCATAGCAATTAAAAACAAAAACAGTTTTACTAAGTTATAATTTACATACCAAAAAAAGTACAGTCCCTGGCTTTAGTATATTTATAAGATTGTACAACCATCACCATTGCCTAATTCCATAATTTAAACATCTCCAAAGAAACTCTGGAGTCACTCTCCATTCTTTTCCTAATGCCCTGGCAACCATAAAAAAGGAGATAGGGATCCCTGGGTGGCGCAGCGGTTTGGTGCCTGCCTTTGGCCCAGGGCGCGATCCTGGAGACCCGGGATCGAATCCCACGTCGGGCTCCTGGTGCAGCGAACCTGCTTCTCCCTCTGCCTGTGTCTCTGCCTCTCTCTCTCTCTCTCTCTCTCTCTCTCTCTCTCTCTCTCTCTGTGTGTGTGTGTGACTATCATAAATAAATAAAAAAGGAGATAAATTATGTACCACAACATAGATGAACATTGAAAACATTACACTCATGAAAGAAGCAAGTCATAAAAAGCTACATACTGCATGATTCCCTGTAATGAACTGTCCAGAATAAGCAAATCCATAGAGACACAAAGATTTTCATTTCTCTTGGTTATTTACCTAGAAGTAGAATTGCGTGGTCATATGGTTAGGCTGTTTGACTTTTTGAGGAATGGTAACACACCACTTATTTTAATAGAGGGGATTTTAATGTAAATAACCAGTTATTGAAGGAGGAGAAAAGTAAAGAAAGAACTTCAAGGTATCATGGCAGTAAGGACTGCAGGGAATAGTATCTACTCCTAGAGCTGTGGGAGCAAAGGGAAGAGATTGGAATTAAGACAGTTAGAAACTGAAAGGAGGTCCTGAGACCCAGACCCCTGAGCAGAGGCTGGTGCTGGGGTCTCTGAGGGGGACATGATGAAGCTGGTTCTGCACGTGTTGGAAAAGCTGCAGACTGGATTAAGTTACTGTTAAGGGGGGAAAAGTTACTCTTAAAGGAAAACCTTGATAATGCATGACTGTTTTGCCTAGGCATGAACGTGAGGTGCAGGTGAAGCATTTTGGAGGCATGTAGTCCCTGTGGGGTGTTCAGTTGTGCTCTTTTCTAAGCCTGTTGCCAATGTTTGGAGGTGGACTGTCTCCTGACCAACATCCAATGTTTGCTTCCTCCTTTGAGGTTTGTCTCCCAGTTCTAGTTCCCAGCTTCCCACTGAATGGATGCTTAGGTGATGCACACTATAAGATTTTGCAGGGCAGGGATCCCTGGGTGGCGCAGCGGTTTGGCGCCTGCCTTTGGCCCAGGGCGCGATCCTGGAGACCCAGGATCGAATCCCACGTCGGGCTCCCGGTGCATGGAGCCTGCTTCTCCCTCTGCCTGTGTCTCTGCCTCTCTCTCTCTGTGTGTGACTATCATAAATAAAATAAAAAAAATAAAAAAAAAAAAGATTTTGCAGGGCACCTGGCTGGCTCAGTCAGAAGAACATGGGACTTTGATCTTGGGGTCATGAGTTTGAGCCCCGTGCTGGGGGTGTAGAGATTACTAAAGAAAGAATAAAGTTTAAAAAAGAGAGTGATTTTGCATCATAACATTGTGGATGTTGGAACAGCAGCTTACTGGTCACTGAATGGACTCAGGCCTGGTACTCTTGTGGATCTTATGGGGTGTGCATGGTTATGTCCATTCATCCTTGAAATCAGATGGTTTCAAGTTTGCCACAGTTCACACTTACATGAACACTCCTGCCTTTGCTTCATGCGCTTACCTGATCCTGGCCTGTTGCTGGCCCCTCCAATGGCCCCATGTGAGAGAGGGTAGAGGATCCGGCCCTTGCTTTCTCTGAGTGGCCTTGGAGATTATTGCTGTAATGCTCTCAGAAAGTTCAGAAGCCTGATGTCTCATTTTCCCTTGGCTATCAATGTCAAGATGTGAGGGGAGGAGGGGTCCTCAAGACCACTTTTGGCTTAATGATTTGCTGTAAGGAGTCACAGAATTCAACAAGACTTTTCTACTTATGATTATAGTTGATTACAGTGAAAAGATACATATTAAAATCAGCAGTGGAGAAAGGTGCATAGTCTGGGAGGTAGTGGGCATGAAATTCTACATGTCCTTTCCCAGGGTAGCCATGTGGACAGTGCTTAATTCTCACAGCAATGACATGACAATGCAGCAACCAGGAATGTTTACCTGAGCTCTGGTGTCCAGGTTTTTTATTGAGGGTCAGTCTCATAAGCATGGAGCATACTGACTTTAGTTACTCAATCTTAACTCCTTCCAGAGATCAAATTAGTACAGTGTAGCCCAGGGTCACTACTATAAGTCACATTGTTAGCATGAACTATCTGGTTTGGCCCAAGTACTTAGGTAAACAAAGATGCCTTTTTTTTTTTTTTAAAGATTTTATTTATTCCTGAGACACAGAGAGAAGGCAGAGACATAGACAAAGGGAGAAGCAGGCTCCTCACAGGCAGCCCAATGTGGGACTCCACCCTGGAATTCCGAGATCATGCCGCGGGCCAAAGGCAGACACTCAATCGCTGAGCCACCCAGGCATCCCACAAAGATGCCTTTAATAGGCAGAATATTCCAAGGGCTGAGAGGTTACCTCTTAGGAGCTGGTCAAGGGCCAAACTTTTGGAACGTGCAGGGTTTGGAGAAACCAGGCCTGCTGAGTCAACCCGTTACTGAACATATCTGGCTGCAGGCAAAGGAAGGTTCTCATCGTTTCCTTGGTGTTTCAGTGACTTGGGTTTCAGGGGCCTTGGTTGTACTCTTGAGGTCTGTATGTATAAAAATGGGAGCTGCATGTTAGTCAGGGCAGGGTGTTCTGTGTGGTTTGGAGGGCAGGCCCTTGTCTCATCCAACTCAGAATCCCAGACCAGCAACTGGTTACATGTAAATTGACTGATTGATTGATTGATTGATTGGCCTGGGTGCCTGACCACTGTGTCCTTAGGGTGAGGCTGAGGACACCAACTCTTTCCTCTCCCCTCAGCACTGGCCAGGCCTGTCCTGAGGACCAGGGGCCTGGAGAGCTGGCAGAGCTGTCCAAACCCTTCATGGATGGAGCTCAGGTGAGCTATGAGTCCTCCAAAGTCACATGCCACATCTTGCTGACCACTCGCCGCCCCTCCCCCCCGCCCCCAGCCGCCCCGATCCTCCCCAATGCCTCATAAGCTTTCCTTGGAGGGTCACTTCAGCAGCTGTGCCCAGCCTCCCCTACTACCCCCTCACCCTTAGGCTTGGCCCAGGAGCCTGCCCTGCAGCCTCTTTCATCTCCTGGTTGTGAGGGTGGAGTATACCCAGGCTTATACTTCTGAGTATAGAGTAAATGCTTGTCCTGAGGTCCTGGGATCCCAGTGCCCAAATCCAAAGGCACAAGAGTGAGACTGGGGCACAGATGGGGTTGCCTGGTCTCAGCTTCTTTTGGGTATGGCTAAACATCACTGTCAGGAAAGCCCAAATTCAGGTTGTTATTGTTGGCACCAGTTTACAATGTATTTTATTTTATTTTTTTTAAAGATTTTATTGATTTATTCACAAGAGACACACAGAGAAAGAGAAGCAGAGACACAGGCAGAGGGAGAAGCAGGCTCCATGCAGGGAGCCCGACGTGGGACTCGATCCCAGGACTCCAGGATCACACCCTGTGCCAAAGGTGGGCTCTAAACCACTGAGCCACCCAGGGATCCCCCAGTTTACAATTTAAAACAGCATTTGATAGGCCCACAGGACATGGCTGTGGCCAGGACTGATTGCTAATTCTTCCTTTCTTCTTGTCTCCCTTGCTCTTCCTGCCTTGCACTCCCTTTCTACTGGTTTCCATTTTACTCCTGCTATGCCACTTTGACTTTCTTCTCCCTGTGAACATGGTGTATTCCAGATGGTGGTGGCATTTGGAGAAAAGGCCAAATCTGGATCCCACAAAAGAAGACTGGGGGCCACCCAGTGCCCTGCAGAAGGCAGTCTTCAGGAATGTGACTGGTTTGGGTAAGGATGCGGATTTTGGGGAGTGGATTGGCCTTATTGCCAGACACACAAGCCCTCAGATGAGTGGTCTGTTTCCAGCCATGGGTTCCTGCTGCAGAAAGCCTTTACCTGAGCCTACCCACTTTCCATAGGAGTGGGGAGAGGGAGGGCTAGCTTAGGAGATTGTTTATTGTTTAAATTTGGCCTGAATGTTTTGCTGTGGATCCCAGATGCCCACACATCTCACATCTGCCTTCTTCTTCTTTTTGGGAGCGGGGGGAGTTCAATTTGCCAACACATAGCATATCACCCGGTGCTCATCCTGTCAAATGCCCCCCTCAGTGCCCGTCACCCAGTCACCTCAACCCCCTGCCTACCTCCCTTTCCACTACCCCTTGTTCGTTTCCCAGAGTTAGATGTTTCTCATGTTCTGTCACCCTCTCTGATATTTACCACTCAGTTTCTCTCCTTTCCCCTTTATTCCCTTTCACTATTTTTTATATTCCCCAAATGAATGAGACCATATAATGTTTGTCCTTCTCTGGTTGACTTATTTCACTCAGCATAATACTCTCCAGTTCCATCCACATCGAAGCAAATGGTGGGTATTTGTCTTTTCTAATGGCTGAGTAATATTCCATTGTAAATATATACACCACAGCTTCTTTATGCATTCATCTTTCGATGGGCACCGAGGCTCCTTCCACACTTTTCACATCTGCCTTCTATACACACCTATGTACACCTGGCTGAGGCATGCCCAGACTTGACCTCAGATTACATGCAGGAAATGAGTACCACCTGCTGGCTGAACCTGTTGCACCTGAGCAGGAAACTCTTCTGCCCCAATACTTGGACCAGCTCTGGGTTCTCCTTGGAGTGGCCCCTGTGGGTTTATCTTGGGATCCCAAGTTGCTGGTCAGCTTCTCCCATTTGAGTGTCTATACCACTTAATGTAGAATCAGAGTCAAATGAGAGACTGACTTTAAACACCACCCTTGGGTACATTAGTCAGATAAAGGAAGAGTCACTTGCCATTAGTTGGCCATGGGGCATGTGGCCCATCTTCATTTAGGAATCCAAGCCTGCTGGTCAGTGAGTGTCCACCTGCCCTGGCAGGGAGACCTGGCTGAGAATTTCCAGTAAACTGTACCTGTGTTAGTTTCCAGGCAGCACAGCTCCCCACCATTCTCACAGGATCTTGGATGTGATGCCAAACAACAGTTTTATCACTGTTTTAACTTTTTACTGTCTAAAAAAAGAGGAGAAACACAATTCCATGTGTTTCACAAGTGACAAGTACAGTGAGATACTCGAATAAGTGAAACATACCAAATAAAAAGAGGGATCTACTCTCTCGCTCCACCAACTGAAGTGATTTGTCATCTGCATTGGGAATGAGGAAATGCTGATTTTCCCCCTGTCAGAAGGCAATGTGAGCTTTTGCTATGTCAAAAAATGAGAACATGTAGGATATGCTGCATGAGGCCCATGTTAGCATTGGGCATGGAGGGAAGCATAGGATGCTGGCAGAGCTGAAGAGCTACAAGAATGTGACATAGGAAGCTATACTCCTGTACTTGAAGATATACAGACCCTGGCAGCATAAGTTGCATCCTGTGAAGAAATAGATGTTGAAGACTAATATTTGTAGAGACGAGGAGCTGGTGCCGGGTGGACCGTATTGAAATGCAATTTAAATTTATCATGGTCTACCAGAGTCCCACCACCAAATTTGTCCAGTGGAGGCTTCTGACCAGCAAAAGTGCTGGGGATGTGGCCATATGTCTGCTAGATATCTTCATATCTTTTTAAAAAGATTTTATTTATTTTAGACAGCATGAACCAAGAAGGGGCAGAGGGGGAAAGTGAGAGAGGCATACTCCTCACTGAGCCCTATAGGCTCAGTCTCACAACTCTGAGATCATGACCTGACCTGAGCCCCCATGTCCAGGTCAGTCACTTAACTGACTAAGCCATCTATGCACCCCACATCTTCTGCATCTTTGGGGCCCTTTCTATTCTTTAGTCTGGAAATGGAAGATACTTTGCAAATGAGGTATGTGGAGTAGATTAATGATCATGACCAGGAAGCACCATCTGAGCCAGAGCCCAGGCAGCATGGAGTGGGGCCACCAAGACATCTACAATATTGTGACTTGGTAGAGGGGACCAGTGTGTGGACCTGGGAGCTGCACTTTGTTCAAGTGATGAAGAACAGAATTTTGTTGTTTTATTTTTTTTTAATATTTTATTTTATTTATTTATTTTTTTTAAGATTTTATTTTTAAGTAATCTCTACACTCAGTGTGGGGTCTGAAGTCACAACCCTGAGATCAAAGCTCAACAATCTTGAGCTGCAGCCCAAGAATAGAATATTTAATGAGAGCATCTGCAGTTCATCTTATGAGGGGATGTTCGGTCATGACATCAAAGTGGGCGTGTTGACATCCTCGGTTCCCAATGGGGCAGTCAGCCAGCTGGAGGCAGAAGAGGATCTGTAGGAGTTGCTGCAGAGTGTGAGGATGGACAGGTCTGAGAATGAGTGCAATGGCCTCACTGTCTTGTTGCTGGAGGTGCCAAGAACTGGAGTGGTGCTTTGTGGTGTATGCCCTATGGGCTGTGGGGAAGCCCAGGTATGTGAATCCAGCATGACATATGTGGACTCGTCCTGTGGCAGAGACTCTCAGGCTATGAGAATGGTGACTTGGGCATGGAGGAGAGACTTCTTGCTTCCCTCAGTATGCTTCCACTCCCATTTAAGAATGTGTAGTTGGGGGGATCCCTGGGTGGCTCAGTGGTTTGGCGCCTGCCTTCGACCCAGGGCATGATCCTGGAGTCCTGGGATTGAGTCCCACGTCGGGCTCCTTGCATGGAGCCTGCTTCTCCCTCTGCCTATGTCTCTGTCTCTCTCATGAATAAATAAATAAATAAATCTTAAAAAAAAAAAGAATGTGTAGTTGGACTCTATCAACGCACTTTCTGCTCCTGGCATTGGTGACACTATCAGAATTTCCATTCTGGATTTAGACAAGGAAGGCTGAAGTCAGAAACATCCTGTGTGTGATTCTTTCCATCAAAGATGGGCAGTTATATTGATTAGGCAACAGATTGGGAACAATTGAGCAGTTTTTCATGAGGAGTCTATTCACAATGTGTTTAGAGGCTTCAGTTTTCTTTTTTTTTTAAGATTTTATTTATTTATTCATGAAAGACACACAGAGAGAGAGGCAGAGACATAGGCAGAGAGAGAAGCAGGCTCCATGCAGGGAGCCTGATGAGGGACTTAATCCCAGGACTCCAGGATCACACCCTGGGCCTAAGGCAGGTGTTTAACCGCTGAGCCACCCAGGCATCCCTTCTTCTTTTTTTTTTTTTTTAAGATTTTATTTATTTATTCATGAAAGACACAGAGAGAGGCAGAGACATAGGCAGAGAGAGAGGCTTCAGTTTTCATCAGAGAGGTCACACCTGAGAATGGTTCCTGAGTGAACTCTCGAGAGTCCTGTCTGTAACTGGCAGGGAGGGACACAGGTTGTGTGTGTGTAAAGCCAAGTGCAGGACCAACAAATGTCCCTGCCAGGGTCTTTCAGGTTCCTATGTTCCTCCAATCATTTGGGTTCTGCTGTAATTAATGACCAGCTGCTGATGAAGTTCTGTATAGCCCTCCTCTCATGTTAGAAACTGTTGACATGAGGAGCCTGGAACCTGGGCCTCTGCCTTGCTTTCCTTGCATTGCTGTGCTGACCTCTACATGGACTTTATCTGTGATCAGGAGTCAATTCAGTAAAGAATGCTTTTATTGGTGTGTATTAGGTTCTGTCTAGGGCTTGTTTCATCAGGACACACCCTTGGGTTGGCGTTAGGAGGGACAGGAAAGGAGAATGGCAGTAAGATCAGGCAAGTGATGAATATGGTGTTGGGACAGGGAGGAAGAGCCCAACTCCCAGCTTCACTGAGGAGACTGTCCCTGGGATGTGGCATCCAGCTAGAGATGGACCATGCCTCTCTCAGGAGGAGACTCACACAGCTAGAGGTGCAATGAATAGGGCTGGTGGCTCATGGAAAGTGTGAGCAGATCTTGGCTCCAGGGATCCCTGGATTTGGCCTTTGCTATGAGCTCCCACTCAATCCCCCAGGCTCCTTTCCTGTCCTTCAGATATCCAGCCAGAAGAGAGAACTCTGTGTAACTTCTGAGTCTATAGAAAGGTAGTATGGGCCCAAAGGGAAGGCCTGAGGATAGAGGGGAAGTCCATCCCATAAAGTCCATCAAAGTGAGGATGTCCATCTTGAGCCAGATATGGAGGCAAGTGACTAGGTACCTGCCCAGCCCAGCTTTCAGCTGCCCATGTTGGGTACTTAGACCATGCCATGAATCAGCAAGCATCCTTGCCTAGAGGAGCTCCTGGAAACCATCAATCTTTGAGGGTGTGCAGGTACTCTGGGGGCATGGAGAGGTATCTACCATAGAAGGCCTCCTGCAAAAGAGTGAGTGAGGCAGCGTGGGTTGAAAATGGGTACAGGAGAAGACATGTGGGCAGCCCCCGTGGCTCAGCAGTTTAGCACCACCTTCAGCCCGGGGTGGAATCCTGGAGACCCAGGATTGAGTCCCATGTCGGGCTCCCTGCATGGAGTCTGCTTCTCCCTCTGCCTGTGTCTCTGCCTATGTCTCTGTCTCTGTCTCTCTCTCTATCTCTCATGGGTAAATAAATAAAATCTTTTGAAAAAAAAAGGAGAGGACATGGTGAGCAGAGATTTGCCTTGAAAGAAGGCTCAGAATGATAGATGCAACTTGCTGTTTGAGCATTAGAAGCCTTCTAGTCTCTGAGGCAGATGTGTTGGTGAGTCACAAGGCCATATAAAAATGTAGGTGATGGGTAATGAATAGCAATGAATACTAAGCCATGGTATATTAGTTATCTATTGCTGTGTAATACATCACTCCAAGTGGCCTAGGACAATACATCATGTCATAGTCTCTCTGGGTCAGGAATTTAGGAGCTTTTAGCTTTTTTTTTTTTAAGATTTTTTATTTTATTCATTAGAAAGAGAGAGTGAGGACAAGCAGAGGGGAGGGTCAGAGAGAGAGGGAGAAGCAGACTCCCTGCCAAGTGGGGAGCCCAACACAGGGCTCCATCTCAGGACCCTGGGATCATGACTTGAGCCAAAGACAGATGCTTAAATGAATGAGCCATCCAGATGCCCCTGGTGTTTGGCTTCTACCAGAGTAAGCCAAGAGAGCAAGACAGGATCATTTATAACCTAGGTTTGGAAGTCACAGACCTTCATTTCCACAATACTTTACTGGCTACCCAGGTCAACTCTGTTCAGTGTTGGAGGTGGTAACATGAATATCAGGAGATGAGAATCCCTGGGCATCATCTTGGAATCTGGCTACCACACATGAGGAGCTGTTTGAGAATCTTAAGCAGAAGGGACAGGTTCAGATTTGTTTAGGCTATCGTGTTTTGACACATTGTGTGACGGTCTCATCTAGTCTTACTTGCACACCTGCCCAATTCTTGGCACCTGACAGTATATACTTGCAGAGGGATGCTGGGAAAGTGGAAAGGGAACCTTAGTATTATGATACTGGGAAAGGCTCCCTATGTGACTGACCTCTGGTGTGAGATTTGAACAATTAATGAGAGAGCAGGGCAGATAAGATGAGAGAAAAGTGTTGAGAAAGTGGACGTTTGTCCTGTACCACTCTGTCTACCTTCCAGCTCCCCACCCTGTGACCTACCTCTCCCTGCCCAAGCTCAAGGAACTCCAGTCCATAATCTTGAACTTCCCTTATGCTTCACCCCTATATCCCTACCATTTCCTTCATCATCTGGCTCTAAATGGAGGGGAATGAAAATCTGGCTGTGCCTAGTTTCTGCTCCCCCGCAACAGCCCTCTCAGTTTTTCCCCCCTTTCAGGTGCCCGTATGGTGCTCACTAAGTATCAGGTTCAGAAGGTGGTTATTTTAGGGCAGGGAACAATGGTGGAAAAAGCTCCTTCAGCTGCCATTCCAAGAGGGCACTCTGAACATTCCTAAAAAAAGATATTGTGGTCAAATATGTATGGGATAGGCTGCATGCTCTAGCCAACCTTTATATTTGAAGGTTAACTTTCATTCTCTTCCAAACCCCATTAAAACTACAGAACACATTAACAACATTGAGAAATCCTTGCAAGAGTGTATTTGTATATGTTTAATCTAGCATGTTCCAAATAATACCTAAATTTTTTCTTTGTGGGAGTGTGGTGGGGTGGAGAAGGAGTTCTTGCAATGTGTCAAGGCACTGCTTTAATGCTTTATAACCTCCCCAGGAAATAGGTACTATTGTTATCCTTACTTAACATACAAGGAGACTAAAGCATAGATGAGTAGGATCTAGGAAGCAGCAGGTCCAAAATTGGAACCTAAATATACTTGTGTGGAGTTGGAGCACCTCCTCACTTTTCAAAAATATCTGTTGGAAAAAAAATCTGTTGGTATTCCAAAAAATGATTGGAAAATGCTAACCTAGGCAAAGGTTTTATTTTCTTTGTTTAAGTTTTTATTTAAATTCCAGTTAGTTAGGGGTGCCTGGGGGGCTCAGTCGGTTGAATGTCTGACTCTTGATTTCTGCTTGGGTCATGATCTCAGGGTTGTGAGACCAAGCCCCATGTTGGGCTCCATGAGGAGTATTCTTTCTCTCCCTCTCCCTCTACTCCTTCCACTCATGCTCTCTCTCTCTCTCTCTCTCTCTCTCTCTCTCTCTCAATAAATAAATAAATCTTTAAAAAATGTCAGTCACTCAATCAACTGAGCTACCCAGGCACTCTGAATAAATTTTACATTTTAATGGATCCATCTTCATGGATCTTGCAACCTCCATCTTGCATGCTTTCTCCAGTCAAAAATCCCAGGAAAGAAAAATCTTTCAGATACGATCTTATATTTACTTGGGCTGATACAGCATCGTCCTCCAAGAGGAACCCAAAAATATTTGAGTTTAAAGAAATCACAGATTTATTCTTCAGGATAAAATGCTGTTGTACAAAAGCTAATTCATTGAAGGCTTTCTCAAGATTTATATAGTATGAGTTCTCTGCTATTGATTCAGACTAGGGAGGTTATTGTCTAAGACTTTGAATATGTTTTTATAGTTACTTTCCATGATGAATTACATGATGCTTTTAAGACGTGAGTCCTGGTTGAAAGCTTTGCAACATTCATTTGTTTATATGGTTTTTCTCCAGTATGAATTGTCTGATTTGTAAGGTATAGACTCTAAAAGCTTTCCCACAGTAATTGCATTTATAGCATTTCTCTTGACTGTGAGTGCTCTGATATCCTGTAAGGTATGAACTGTGTCTGAAGGTTTTGAGATATTCATTGCACTCAGAGTTCCTCTCTTGAATCGGCTGCCTGATGTGCTTTTTTTTTCCTGAAGCATTTCCCACATCCATAATGTCGATAGTTTCTCTCACATGTGAATTCTTTGATGTATTGTAAAGTGGGAGGTCTAGCTGAAAGCTTTGCCACATCCCTTGCCCTTGTAGGGTTTTCCCCAGTATGTAATTTCTGATTTTAAGTGAAACCCAAATGGCCACAGATGTCATTCCCACACTCAAAACATTCACATGGACTGATGTTATGGGCTACAAGGTCACTGAAGAAAGCTTTACACACCAACCATATTTATAATGTTTCTCTCCAGAATGGATGCTCTGATGTAGAGTAGGACAAGATTTCTGGCTGAAAGCTTTATCATATTCACTGCATTCATAGGTTTTTTTTTCCAGTGTGAATTCTGTAATGTTGAGTAGCGGGTTTTCTCTGACTAAAGGCCTTCTCACAGTTGCTGGATTTATAGATTTTTGCTCTCTAATGA